CTCAATCCACCATCGGAAAAGGAAATGGAAGGTGAAACCAGAGTGAGAATCAAAGAAATATCCTGCCACTGGTATGAATTGCATCCTCTTCCACCCCGCTCCCACCCCAAACATCCCACCTCGCTTTCCTCCTATCTATGCTGCTCAGGGTACAGGAAGTGGGGAGAGAGCAATGTAACTGGTGAAGTTGAACTGAGCAGTGTCTGAAGGGCTCTGGGAAATTGCCTTTGTGCTTCTGACAGGGTGACATGTAATGTGGTCCAGGCAGAGTAAAGAAAGGGGAATACAGTGTTTGTAGCAATGGATTTTATCTACCTATCCCTTTAGGCCCTAATATGTTTTGAGTCTGGAAACAGATCAGAATTCTATAGTTAGTAACGAGGAGAATGCAGGAAAAGTGAAAGTAGAATAGGGAATAATATTGCTTCCAGTGACTGCTCTTCAATGATCCTTGTCACTGACTCAAATTTAGCTCTATATTACCAAAAAAAAGCCTAATCCTCCCCATTTTCTAGGGCAAATATAGGGGATTATACTTATCATCATAGTGATTATCACAATACTTTTTATTCATTTAGGAATCTCCCATCGTTGTTGCCAACATCCATTAATAAGAATCCTCACAACATTCCTGTGAGGTAGATATTTAGATCCCCATTTTACAGATGGGTTAACTGAGGCACAGAGAGGTGATGTGACTTGCCTAAGGTCAACCAAGCGAGAGATGAGAAAATACGGGAGAGGTAACTTAGGGTAGCACCCTTAATGTCAGAGAGCCATATTTGCCCATGAGAAAGGAGTGTTATATTTTATTTTCATTCAGGCACACCCACTTTCTTCTGTGTCCATCTCTCTATGTAGACAATTAGCACACTGTGGGGGAACCAATAATTTCCCTAGGCTTATTCAAGGTTGGTTCAATAACCAATGGTTTGGTTATTGAGAAAACTTTTGGGGGGCAGAATAGATTTTCAAATTCTTGGAACCATGATGATAGAAATCCCTAATTCCTAAATGTTGCAGATCACTTGGTTTCAAAAAGTTGTTGGAGTTTGGAAACATGTTACTATCATACAAATAAGCACTGTGTTCTAGTTGTTATCCAGTGTACATATGAACAATTCAGATACTGCTATTTATAATAATAAAAACATAATATGATAATTAGACCAGATGAAACTGAGACTGTGAGGGGAGCCTGGGTCCCAGGGGCCCAGAGGGAAGCTGGTGCCAGCAGCTGAGGGAAGGAAGGCTACTCTTGCACAAAATTCGTGCACCAGGCCTCTAGCATATTTATACTAGAATTGCACAATTAAGCAAATAGATGTCAGAGTGTGGGAGATAGCTTTCTTACTGTTTGAGTGGGAGGTTACAAATAAGCAAAGGGAAAAGGCTAGAATGATACATTTGGTGATGGACTGGTATTGGCAACATCAGTATGAACTCACGTTTAGCTTAATAAAGATATGGAAGATTACCTATAGAAATATTTGTTGATATGTGTATATATACATGAGTTAGTGTACATACATATATATTTTTTGTTCTGTCAACTGAGATGGCCTAGAAGCAACAATACCCCAGTAGCCATAAGCATACTTAATCCTAGATCTTGGTTTCTAATACAATTATCCATTAAAAAGAATCAGGGCTCCTGAAAGAAATGGTTGATTATAAGAGTGGACCAAAAATATATAAGATGAGCCTGGAGCATCTTGTAGTGCCAGCAAATAAATATATGCTTAAAAAAAAAAATGACGGGGGTATGTCAAAAAGACTTGGGAGCCAACCCAAAAGAGCATCCAATGGCCAAAGCTGGAACAATTTGAGCATACAAAATAAAATTGCATTGATTATAACCCCAAGAATAAAGTAAATGTGAGTCCATACTGATACAAGTAAATTATTACATAAATTAAATGAGGGAGAAGAATCAAATCTCCCGTGCAGAATTTTTTGTAGATATTCACACTCTAGGATGCGGTGCACAACTCTCCACTCCTTAAGTGTGGGCTGCATAGTGACTTCCCTCTAAAGAGTACAGTATGGAATGTGGGGGAGAAAGTACAAAGGAGGAAGCTAACAAACACAATGTCAGCTCGGTAGTCCAAGTCAACATCAAAGATTAAGTCATGTTCATTTGATGTGATAAAAAGAGCTCTATGGTCTTCCTCCTTTTAACCTCAGTTTAATATGAGAAAAAGATCAGACAAATCTCAATTGAGGAACATAGTATTCAAAAGTGTCAAGGGGAAAAAAATCTGAAAAAGTGCCACATTCAAGAAAAGCCCAAGAAGATATGACCACTAAATGTGACATATCTTGAGTGGGATGCTGTAACAACAACAACAACAACAACAACAAAGGATATTAGGTAAAAATTTAGGAAATTTGAATAAAGTGGACTTTAGTTAATAAAACATCATTATTACTTCATTAATTATAACAAATGTGCCATACTAATGAAAGATGTCAATAATAGGAAAAACCAGGTTGTAGGGTATAGGCAAACTGTAGAATCTTCACAATTTTTCTGTAAGTCTGCAACTGTCCTAAAATAAACAATTCATTTAAGAAGAAGTTACCCTCACAAATCTTTTTGTCTTACCCAAAATTCTTTCCACCTAATCTAACCAACCAATTCACATTCTTCAGTTTTTCCTGAATTTTCCAATTATAATCATCAATAGTTATGTTCAACTGAAAATTATCTACAAATGGAGGAACTCCACTGCAACAAATCCCAGGATATTGTCCAATCCCAGCAAACAAGGTTACCTAAGAGCTACAGTTCCTGCCCAGCCAGTGTTGCCCAGTGCACTGAGCGTTGTCCCACGCACCAAGAGGTCGAGGTTCAAGTCCCAGTCAGTGCACATGCCTGGGTTGCAGGCTCGATCCTCGGTAGGGGGTTTGCAGGAGGCAGCTGATTGATGTTTCTATCTTTCTCTCTCTCTTTTCCTCCCTCTCTAAAAATAAATAAAAACATTTTTTTTTTAAAAAGAGCTACCGTTACTTTTCATCTCGCTGTCTACCTAACAGAATCCTATGTGCTTTTGGTGCAGTACTCTATTGTACTCTATTTGAATCCCTGTATGTTATGAAATACTCAATAAATTTTGACACATCTCTTAAAGAGTATATAATGATTGGAATGATTTTATTATTATTTGGAGGGGACTATTAATAAAGCAGTAACAAAATCCCTCCTTACTTTGCAGGGAAAAAATGAATAAAGATTTAGGTGGCAAAGATAGCAAATTTAGGAGTTTTAATTTGATCATCATAGTTAGTACAATAGTATGTTTGATAGCCTTTATTTATTAACAGGTTATATACTCCAATGCAAAAGATCCTGAGGTCTGGGGAGTGTTTTGAACTCTGGGAAAGGGAGTTTCAGGATCCAAACTCTGGAGAAAATGGGTCCTTGAACTCTACTGTGAAACACTGTATCAACTACTCAGTTATAAGCTTAAGCCAATATAATATATATGATGGTAAGTCACTTTTAACCATCTTAGAGCTACATAAAAGTTCCCTTTCAGTCTATAGTGTGGAACTTAGACACCAAAAGTCAGAGGAAAGTCTGTTTCAAAATAACCATGAGAAGTGTAAAAATCCACGTGTCGTTTTGAATAATACAGGCAGGCCTTGAATTCATAAAAGTTTATAATCTGGACATTGCATGTTTAAATGAGGTAAATCAATTCTGAGATATTACAGAAAGTGTCAGAAGAGAAATATCGTGTACCTGATGTTATATGTCCATGACCACAGGCACACTTTACTTATTATATAATCAGCTGAGTGTTCTAGTTTTCTGAAGCATAACATATAAAATTGGACAAATACTGCAACCAATCATGTAAATTTTTCTCTAATCTGATTTAATAATGTGACCCCTGGGAGAATGAGTATGCAGGTCCATAAGGCCTCAAGGAACATCTGTGGAAAGGATCTGACCCGTACTTGTCTCATCTGTAAAATATGAATGATGGATAGGACTAGTTGGCTAATGGGATCCCTCGTTGGTGCTAGAATTCTATGATTTATTCAGAATGGACAAACCTTGGGAGGTAGTAACCTAAAATATGTAAGCAGGGACTGGTTGAATATCTGCCAAGGAAGAGGGGTTCCATATGAACCTTTAGGAGAGAGGCTGAGTCCAAAGTGAAGGGATATAAACTCCCCCTCCCCCCTAAAGAGAGGAAATATGACATGTGGAGGTAGATCTGAGGTCCAGAGCCTGGAACACAGGGTTTTATGTCTCAGAGACTATTATGAAATAGGTTTGGTAACCAAATGTCTATATTATGCAATATGCTGTAATGGCTGAAAGAAATGCCATAGGTGCTCATAGCAGTTGCAGAGCATCCAAGTGCTTTCAGAAATTATCTCAATTTTCACTAGAAGCTTCCTATTCCAATTGAAACACAGGAATGCATGCTAATAATGCCATGGAATGAACAAATCTTTTTCTTACAACCCCTCACCTTTCTATGACATGGCCCCAGTGTATGATTTCTCATCATGCATTATACTCATAATAGTTGCTTTATGTAAACAAAAGAATAAACAGTACAATACAGCCCCCTCAAGACACTGTCTCAACAGGCTGCCATTTGAATGAGGTTTGTGATTACAGCACTTTTAGCGTCATATCCAAGTGACAGTCCCTCTCTATTTTTTTTATTCTGCTTCTTCCTGTCATGGTCCAACATGCTCTCCTGAAACACTTTTCATCCTACCAGCATGTCAACGTGTGCTTCAAATATTTGTCCTAACTCCGTGGTCGGCAAACCGAGGCTCGCGAGCCACATGCGGCTCTTTGGCCCCTTGAGTGTGGCTCTTCCACAAAATACCACGGCCTGGGCCAGTCTGTGTTGAAGGAGTGGCGTTAGAAGAAGTGTAAGTTTAAAAAATTTGGCTCTCCAAATAAATATCAATCGCTGTACTGTTGATATTTGGTTCTGTGGACTAATGAGTTTGCCGACCACTGTCCTAATATTTAACCCAAAAAAGAAGGTGATTGTGCTGTAAAATCCTTAATGTTGAAGGAGGAAGAGAAGGAAGGAGAAGGAGATGGACAAGATCACTTCATTCCCTTCAATGGACTTATGAAGCAGAAGTGCCCGCACGTGTGAAAACCAAACTGTCAGGACAAATAGGATTGGATTTACAAAACCACTGAGTTTTGCATGGGACTCAGTAAATTTACTGAGAATGTGTCCTATGCTCAGGATGCCAATCCATTCTACCAACAAGCTACACTGTTATGCCCTCTTCTGTCTAGGAACTTGAAAAAAAAAGTCATTTTAAAACACTACCAACCACTTTTAAGTACTGATTTTTTCAAAAATATGGATAAGAATTCTAGAACAAAAGGAGGGAAAAACAGGAAAAAAAGCAGCATATGTTTGTTCACAGCCTTGAGTTGGATTCCTGTTTTGTTATTGTAGAAAAAGTGTCCCATCTGCGACCATGGGTGCCACACTTTTTATTCAACCTAGACGGAGATGTGAGGATGGAATATGAGGAGCCACCATGGGAAATCAGCTATCTTTGCCTCCAGTCTCATCAACCTGGCTCAGTGAGCTACTCCGGTCCCATCCCAGAGGCAAGCTGAAGTCAAAGAGGAAAAGATGGTCATGACCTCAGCGCACACCCAGGAATGAGACCAGCGCAGCTCTTCTAGTGCGGACTGTGGAGCTCACATGGTGTCATGGCGCCTGCGGTGCAGGGACAGGTGGTCAGAGCGAGAAAAGCTCCGGTTGCAGTCTGTGCACCGGAAGGGCTTGATGCCCGTGTGCTTGCGGAAATGGCGAGTGAGCTCATCCGAGCGAGCAAATTTCCAGGAGCAGCCATCCCAGGTGCATTTATAAGGCTTCTCTCCTAAAAGGGAAAGATGAAGAAAACAAAACAAGGGGAGTCAGAGATGTTTGGCCACAGAAAAGATAACAGAGGCCGTAAGCTTTTAGCAAGGCTTTGGTCAAAAGGTGAGGCAATCACTTTGAAGATAGGCTCTTGTTCAATCTCACAGAAGTGCTCAGGAGAAGGCGGCAGGCGCTGGCTCCAACAGGCCTTTGCTTGAATCCTGGCTCTACTACATACCAGCTGTGTGACTTGAAATAAGTAACTTCTCTCTGGCTGGGTCTCTGTTTAATCATCTCTAAAGGTGAAGAAAATAACTCGCAGGGCTGTTTGACACATCTCTTCTGAACACAGCTAGTAAATGAGAAACCTGGGATCCAAACTGAGGTCTTTGACACTTGAACCTGTACCACACTGTAGCAGCCACATCCTCCCCTCTAATACCTCCCAGCAAATAGTCTTAAGGAGAGACATATACACAGAAAGAAAATGTGATCCACTAGAAGGAGCCCTCAGCTTAGCCTACAGGCCTTCTTCTGTGTCAGTTCAGAAATTAAAGTGCATGGAATGGGAGGAGGAGAAGATTAAGTCAAATTTTTAAAAATAGTTCATGCTCAGTATCTGCAAGGTGCTTCTGGGTTATATATGGAATATGTATGCTCTGGATAAAAAGCTAAATGAAAAAAAGTAATAGAAAATACATTAACACAAGAGGATCCCATTAGGGTGTGTAAATCACACAGTGCATGTTTAAGTACTCAGAACAAAGGTAATATCAATATACTTAAATGCAAATTATGAGATAAATTATTAACAGTAAGTGAATATCTGGAAAGTGAGGAGAAAAGCTGTGGGAAAAGGACTTTCTTTTTTTTTTCCTTTTTTTCCTTTCTTACTTTTCACTTTTCTGTGTCAATTGAATATTTTAAAAATCATGATATCATATGTTATAATAAAATTTTATTTTCTTTGTTTTATATCCATTTTAATTATATCTAGTAAACATACAGTATTGATTTCAGATGTACAACATAGTAATGTGTCATCTCACTAATTCTAAGAATCATAAAAGAGAGAAGAGACATTACAATGGATGCCTCAGATATAAAAAGTATTATAAGGGACAATTATGAACAATTGTATGCCCACAGACTGCATAACTTAGAAGAAATGAATAAATTCCTAGAAACATACAACCTACCAAAACTGGCTCAAGCCCTAACCAGTTTGGCTCAGTGGATAGAGCGTCAGCCTGCAGACTGAAAGGTCCTAGGTTTGATTCCAGTCAGGGGCATGTACCTTGGTTGTGGGCACATCCCAGTAGGGGGTGTGCAGGAGGCAGCTGATTGATGTTTCTCTCTCATTGATGTTTCTAACTCTCTATCCCTTTCCCTTCCTCTCTGTAAAAAATCAATAAAATATATTTTAAAAAAAAAACTGGCTCAAAAAAGAAAAAATAGAAAGCCTAAACAGGCTATTAACAAATAAGGAGATTGAGTCAGTAATCAAAAATCTTTCAACAAAGCAGGCCGGTGTGGTTCAGTGGTTGAAAGTCAACCTATATACCAGAAAGTCACAGTTCAATTCCTGGTCAGGGCATATGCTGGGATTGCTGGCTTGGTCCCCAGTAAGAGAATGCTGCTGGTCAACGCTCAACCACTGAGCCACTCTGGCTGGGCCCCCTTCCACTCTTGTAACTCAATGCTTCCACCACCAACCACTGCACTTAATATGCCCTGGCAATGCTGGGCTTCCGTCAGTCATTAGAACAAGACAAACTTACTCCCGTCTCCTAGCTTTTGTACTCTGCCTAGATAAGAGTAACACTTTCCTTAAATTTTTGGCATAGTTGGCTCCTTCTCATAATATTGTAACTATGTCATTTAATGTAAGAACCTTTTTTAAAATACTGATTTGAACAACCTTTTCAAAAGCATTTATTAGACAACTGGGGAAATTTGATATTAAGAAATTTTTACATTCCTTTCTTTGAGCACTTTAAATATCTCCTGCCACTCCCTTCAGCTTATTTTTAAATGTCCATTGCCTTTTAAAGATATATTCTTAAGTATTTATGACAAAGATAATATGATGTCTGAAATCTGCTTCAAAGTAATAGTGTGGGATGGGGGAGTTGCAAGGGGTGTGGAGGAAACAAAATTGGCCACATACTGAAATAATTGCTGAAGTTGTCTGTCTCCCTCCCTCTCTCTCTCTCTCTCTCTCTCTCTCTCTCTCTCTCTCTCCCCATCCCTTCCACTCTTTCTAAAAAAATCAATGGAAAAATATCCTCAGATGAAGATTAAAAAAAAAAAAGGAACACCTACAGGTAATCAATGGAGATGATGGCTATTCAGAAGACACCAGGCTTAGTGTAGTCATAGGCTGGTTTTATAATATAAAAGCTTAGAGTAGCCAAAACCGGTTTGGCTCAGTGGATAGAGCATCAGCCTGCGGACTGAAAGGTCCCATGTTCGATTCCGGTCAAGGGCATGTATCTTGGTTGCAGGCACATCCCTGGTAGGGGGTGTGCAAGAGGCAGCTGATGGATGATTCTCTCTCATCTCATTGATGTTTCTAACTCTCTATCCCTCTCTCTCTTCCTCTCTGTAAAAAATCAATAAAATATTTTTTTTTTTTTTTAAAAAAAGCTTAGAGTAGGAACAAGGCATAAGAGTAAAAGCCATGAATGGAATCTAATCCATGATTATAAATGGATCAATCTTTGAAGACTTTCTTCCCTTCCTATCTCTCAGAGGCTGTACGGTGTGTGTGTGTGTGTGTGTGTGTGTGTGTGTGTGTGTGTTGGGATGGGGTGAAGGTGACCAGACCTGTATGGATTCTGCGGTGGGCTTTCAGGTGAGAGCTTTTGGTGTATACTTTGCTACATCCTGCAAAGTCACATTGGTGAATCCGTCTTCTTTTCAAGTCAAGGGATTCTTCTCCCTGCATTTGGGCCATTGCTGCTGGTCTGAGGAAAAAAAAAAAAAGAGAGAGAGAGAGAGAAATAGGGTCAATGAATGCTTTTAATGTGAAGTCTAAATAAATGGACATACATGCAGTAGGACCACTGCATACATGCAAATTAATCACTTGACCCTTAAAAGAAGAAGTAAGATAGTACAAGCAATTCCCTTAACTAGCCCTTTCTGCTCAGTACGTGCAGGTTCCAGGAGGTGGCAATGTTTCCTTGGGTGGTTTCTGCTCCCACACAGTGTGAGCATTTTGCAAGTCTCATATTTGTGTTTAAAGAAATATATTTTTCATACAACATGATTGCTAAAATACAAGCCAACTACTTTGTTAGTCCCAACACTGGATGACAAGGCTGCTTTAAACATACAGAAAGAAACCCTATGCAGCTGTACTTTACAGGAAATTTGCCAATTTTTCAAGGGTAAAATTGATGATCTACAATTAGAACCTAACTCTGCCACAATATGCATACCTGTGCACATGTACGCACACAAACTCATACCTTTGCTGGGAAAGGTTTCCCTATATTTTTTGTCCCCACATTCTTGCTATTGTGTCTAAGAATTTGTTCAATTTCTACCACAGATACACATATATACTTAGAAAGGGTCTTGAAGTGAAGACAAAAGTACTCACTCTTGCTGCAGTCCCTGTAAGGCCAAGGATCCACTCTCATTTGCACTTTCCTCACTGTCACTTGGGACTTCCAGTGGAGACATAGACATGGGGTCAACTTTCACTAAAAGCAAAGAAAAGGAACAATATGGACTACAAATATGTGTCTCTGTTATAATTTTCAGGATTCCCAGTTTGGCCCACAATGAGAAGGAGCAGAAAGAAAAAGAAAGGAAAGCAAAAGATGGGAGAATTGTATTTGTGTAGAAGGAAGAGAAGAATATTTAAAGTATTTAGCATAGCGGGAAAGAGAAATTCCTTTGAGGGAAAGATAGTCAGGAACATTCTGGTACCACAAGAATAAGCTTCTCTGGGATAGGGAGTGGGATAGGACAGTGAGTTTCTCTAGGATAGGGTCTGGTTACGAATGAACTCTACCTCCAGCCCCCAGGACAGGGTCTGCTTAAAAGTCAAGTTCAATGCGTGCTTGTTGAATCATACTCTGAATAGTTCCCTGGCTGTCCTAAGACAAATGCCTATTCTCAGCCCACAGGTGATAATGCCCCCTTTGGCTTTTGTGTTCCTAAATGAAAACAAGCCAATGAAACACATACCGGGTAGCTAGTAGGTGTTTGATACATGTTACATCCTTCCTTTTCCCTATGTTGGAAGAAGCCCTCAAATATTTCTTATTATCAACTAGTGGTCCCTCTTGCAATCCAGGACCACTGGTTCCTAACCACTCACCTGCCTGCCTGTCTGATCACCCCTAACCACTCTGCCTGCTGGCCTGCACGCTCCCAACTGCTCCCCCAACTGCCGACCTGCTCGCCCCCAACTGCCTCCCCTGCTACCAGCCTGCTCACCCCTAACTGGACCCCTCTGCCAGCCTGCTTGCCCCCAACTACCTTCCCCTCCTGGCCTGATCACCCCAACCGCCTCTGCCTTGGCCCCGCCACCATGGCTTTATCAGGAAGGATATCTGGAAGGTCTCCCGGAAGAGCTCCTGGTCTAATTAGCATATTACCTTATCATTAGTATAGATTACTTGTGTTTCTGACATCAAACGAAATTCAGTCCTGTGGTCAGCAGTCTCCTAGATCTAGTAAAAGCTAGAAACTTAAGGATGCTAATAAAGTTGAACGAGGAAGGACCTGGCTAGTGCAATTGCCTTCATACCTTATTGTACAACATTCACTGAAATGTTTTAAACATGGCCCTGGCCAGGTGGCTCAGTTGTTTGGAGCATTGTCCTGTATATCAAAAGGTTGCAGTTTCGATTCCCAGTCAGGGCACATACCTAGGTTGTGGGTTCAATACTCGGTCCGGGTACGTACAGGAGGCAACCAATTGATGTCCAATTGATGTTTCTCTCTCACATTGTTTCTTTCTCTTTCTCTCTCTCCCTCTCTCTCCCCGCTCTCTCTCCCCTCCTTCCTCTCTCTAAAATCAATAAACATATCCTCAGGTAAAGAAAAAGTTTTAAGTATGCATCTCAATATATATGTGTTTGCATGTGTGTTATAAATGTGCTAGTATATTACAATTTTGTGTACATTATGAAAATAAAAAAATAATATGTGAGGGGCAAAAAAATGCAAATAGAAATGCTGCTACTTTCTCCTTGTGCTCTAATTGCTTTGGGCACCTCTCTCACTTGAGGTGGAAGCCTACCATTTTGGAGACCACTGAGCTAATGGTCTTAGCTTAGCTTGAAACTACATGAAACATTTTTGAAACATATTGTTTATTTAGACTGGCTCTAATGGACTGATGAATATTATGGTGGGAATTCAAAGCCCCTTCAAACCATCCCGAGGTGCTACCACTGTCTTGATCAGTAAATTCCAACACGGGGAATTTTATTTTTCATTTCATTTTTTCCTTTGGTTCTCTCTCCCTGTACAAGAATTAATAACTATATTTTAATTAACCTCCTCAGGAGATCTCAAAAACAAGATTGTGAAGAATATTTACATTACCAAAGTTAACCTCTAGTCAATGATGATGTTTTTATTCAAAAGAACATTGCAGAGTCTCAGAAATTTGATACTTGATATGTTGTTTTTCAGCATCTTACATTTAGTGATGCAACAATCACAAGGCATTAGATTTCAATGGTTGAAAACACTTAGAAAGTTCATTTTATATATATATACGCTGAGTGGCCAGATTATTATGATCTCTGAACACATAATAATCTGGCCACTCAGTGTATATCTTATATAATAAAAGGCTAATATGCAAATTGTCCCCTCAACCAGGAGTTCAACCAGCAGGCAGGCCGGCCAACTGCCCATGTTCCCTCCCCCTGGCCAGGCTGGCTGGACCCCACCCATGCACAAATTCATGCACTGGGATTCTAATATATATAACACTTAGTGGCCAGATTATTATGCATTTGGAGCTGAAATCTGGTTCCTAGTCAATTCTACCTACATCTCTTCCCTTTGGTCTTTTTAATTCATGTTAAATATTTGACATGGATTTCAGTCCTTGAACCATTCTAATCTCTCTCCTCTAAGTATACTCCAATTTCCCAACAAACTTTTTAAGGCATAACATCCAAAACTGATCAGAATGCTATAGATGGTGTGAAGCTATATATATGGAAACACTTCGAGAAGCCATATATTTTTCTTTGATCATTCCCATTTATAAACTACTTCCAGGAGGGAAAACTGGATGGTTGGGGGATAGTGGTGAAAGGGAGACTTTATACATTTTTGAATTTTGAACTCATTTTAAAAATTAAGCAGAAGGAAAGATTATAGTAGATGAACTCTCTCCCAGACAAATGTCCAAGTTTGTTTATCAAATTTTAAAAATATTTTTATTGGTTTCAGAGAGGAAGGCAGAGGGAGAGAGAGACAGAAACATCAATGATGAGATAGAAACATCAACTATTGGCTGGCTGCCTCCTGCATGCCCTATAATGGGAACAAGCCCACAACCCAGGCTTGTGCCCTTGACCAGAATCGAACCTGGGACCCTTCAGTCAAAGGCCGACACTCTAGCCACAGCCAAACTGGCCAGGGCTCATCAAATTATTTTTTGTGAGACAACTGTTATCTATCACTGTGTTAGGTTCTCTGAAGACACCAAAAGAGAAATAAAACACAGTTTTGTCTTTGAGAAATTTACAATTCAGTTAGGAAGAATGCCCATATACTGTAATACAGGTGAGTAAAAAAGTAAAATGGAGGGTGACAGATGCTAAAATGAGGAGGAACATAAGGAAATGGCAATATTTCAAAGGAGACTTTTACCTGCAGGGGAAAAAAGTGTTAGGAGCTTAGCAGGATCTAAGTCTAGCTAAGTATGTAGGCCTAGAAACATTATCAACTTGTCTGCCAAGGCATTCCTAATGGCATAGAAGGACAAAAACACTCTCCTGAAAAGCCCCAAGCCTAGTAAGCATAAAACTATTTTTGAAGTTTGTGTTTTATCTTAAAATGTTATTCAAATTTTATATTTTTCTCTTTAATAAAATCATATTTTTAAAATATAAAATGTTTTAAATTACTGAACTCTCAAATAATATATAGGTTCCAGGAAGATACATAGTATTTCACTCAAGGATATGCATACCCCAGTTTGAGAAGCCTGGGCTAAACAAAAGAGAGTTATTGTACATTCTTAAGCATTGAAACGACGTGATAAAAACAGTGTGTATGAAAGATTGTGCTTGAAGCTGTGTGCCAGGATAATTGGAGGGGATAAAAAGAGGCAGGCGATAGGACAACTCAAAAAGAGACTGGATGACAGTAACTAAGATATGGAAACAGCTCACGTGCCCATCAGCAGATGAGTGGATAAAAACAGCTGGGGTAGACATCAAGCAATGAACTTGCATGCATATATACATGACCCATGGACACAGACAATGGAGTGGGGACCTAGCAGGGGGAGGAGGATGGGACTGGGCTGGAAGAGGCTAATGGGAGGAAAAGAGAACCTATGTAATCCTTTCAACAATAAAGATTTTTAAAAAGAAGCTGTAGCACATATATAAATGGAATATTATGAGGCTTAAAAAAAAAAAAAAAAAAAAAAAGGATCTCGTACTCTTTGCAACAGCATGGAGGGACCTGGAGAATATTATGCTAAGCTCTATAAACCAGTCAGAGAAAGATGAGTATCACATGATCTTACTCATATGTGGAATCTAATGAATATAATAAACTGATGATGAACAAAATAGGTCCAGAGACATAGAAGCATGGAACAGACTGACAGATCTCAGAGCAGGGGGTGGGAAGAAGAGATTAACCAAAGAATACATATGCATATATGCATAGCCCATGGACACAGACAATAGTGTGGAGAAGGCCTGGGGTGGGTTGGGGTCTGGGTGGAGGGAGGCAAAAATAGGAAAAATTGGGGACATCTGTAATAATGTCAATAAATAAATGAGAGAATAGCCAAAACCAGTTTGACTCAGTGGATAGAGCATTGACCTGAGGACTGAAGGGTCCTAGGTTCGATTCCGGTCAAGGGCATGTACCTTGGTTGCGGGCACATCCCCAGTAGGGGGTGTGCAGGAGGCAGCTGATCGATGTTTCTAACTCTTTGTTCCTCTCCCTTCCTCTCTGTAAAAAATCAGTAAAATAATAAATGAGAGAATAGATTGATGGAGGTGAAGCTGAGGAAAGGGGCACAGTGATGCTCACCTGATCCAGCATTTTTGCCATCTCCTCCAATGAGTGGGACTGTAATGGCTGCAGGGTTCGCATCTGCAGGCAAAGCAGTATACACCATGGGCAGCGGTTGTACCACTACCGGGATGGTCTTCAGGGCACTCATTTTATTTGGCAGACTGACTGAGGGGATGGTGTGAATCACATGGAAGATCTGCTGGCCACCAGTGCCCTGAGAGGAGGCCAGGATAGGGCCTGGAGTCAGAACGGTAGGGATGTTTGCTAAAGTGCCTGCATCAGATGACGAAGTGGACACGACAGGAGTCTGGGGAGCAGGCTGTGGCTTGGGAGGGCGGACTGGCGCTTGCAGCATGCTGGCAGGCTGGAGAGGAGCCTTGGGCTTATGAAGGGAGAGGTCGACTGGTTCCACCTGGGGCAGGCTGAAATCATTGGCCAGAAGTTCTTCTGGGGGCTCGATCTTGATGTCATTAAAGAGTGCTGGGTTCTCCATGGGGTTGGCATCCAGAAATGGTAGAGATGTCATATTACCTCTGCCTGCTGCTGTCTTTGGGGGATCTCTGATTTGAACAGAGCCAGTGACCTGAAATAAATTAATAAACAAATGAGAGATGCAAAACAGTCAGTGCTAGTGCCCTGAAGAAGAGACACGTGAGCAATGAAAGGAAGATATCTCCATTCTCTTCTCATGAACAGAATGTATAAGGAGTTGAAAGAAATGAGGCAGGAGTACATTAAAGAGGGAAAAGGAAGGGACACTTTCCTGAGGATGGGTACTAGGCATTGTATCAGGCAATTGATACAAATTGTTTTACAATAATCTTTATAATAATTCTGCAAGATTAATTAAAGTCAACACTTTCTAACTATTCTATTTAATAAAGAAGGAATATGCTAATTTACCCTCACACCATCTCAAAGATGGCAGCACCCACAGCCAGTAAGAAGGGAATATGCTACTTGACTGCTCCACTCTCAAAGATGGCGGTGCCCACAGGCAATGAGGAAATATGCTAATTGACTGCCCCCACCCTCAAAGATGGCAGCACCCACAGCCAATAGGAAGAAATGTGCTAATTGCTACCATACCCTCAAAAATGGTGGTGCCCACAGCCACAAGATGGTGGCACCCAGTCCCCTCAGCCCGGCCTCTGGAGTCCCCCAGTCCCCTCAGCCCCCCAGTTGCCCAAGGGCTTACGTGAGGCACAGGCAAGCCTTGGATGGCAGCTGCCCAGCCGTCCAGGGCCACCAGAGGCTCAGGTAACCAGGGCCAGCCGAGGCTTGCGCTGCCGGCAGTGGCAACAGCAGAGGTGTTATGGGGGCATCACCTTCCCCTGATTGCTGGGTCGCCTCCCACCCCTGAGTGCTCCTGGACTGTGGGAAGGGGCAGGCTGGGCTGAGGAACCCCCTCCAGTACATGATTTTTCATGCACCAGGCCTCTAGTCCACTATAAATACTGGGCTAAGTTCAGTGAGGACACACATGAATGAGGTATAACCAAAGTATTAATATACTATCTATAATGATAGAATGATGTGAGTAGTTTTAAGTCATACCATAGTAAGTGATGCAGCAGATATATAAACGAGGTGTTTCAAAAAAGAAAATGGAGCCCAGCCAGCATGGCTCAGTGTTTGAGCATCGACCTATGAACCAGGAAGTCACGGCTCTATTCCCAGTCAGGGCACATCTAATCCCCAGTGTGGAGGTGTACAGGAGCAGCTGATCAATGATTCTGATCATTGATATTCCTCTCTCTCCTCCCTTCCTCTCTGAAATCAATAAAAATATTTTTAAAAGGGCACAAAGAAGCATCCATGTTTCATCTATGTAATTTAGTCAGAATGCCATCTGCTTTCTCCCTCTGATAGGCTATGGCACGCTTGATTTTTTTCATTTACAATCTCGCATCTCAACTCAGGCCTTGTTCAGAGTCCAAATATTGCTTCAATCTGCTTTTCTAAGACAGGACTCTGTGATTTGCCCCACTGTTTCACATACTTCTAAATTACTCAGTCCCTCATGGGTGGATACACTCCATTCAGGTAACGGAGCAGTAGAACCTTGTTGGTGGTGGGGAGGAGGGAGGATAGGGAGAGAATGTTGTAAAAAAAAAAATGGCTATTTAAAGTCCTCTGAATCCCGGAATCAACATAAACTTATTTTCCCCACATTTCCCATGTGTCTCTTCATCTGGCTAGTCTCCTTCCCAGATTAAAAAGGCAGAATACTAGGAATCTCTAAGAAAGAATAGGAAGAAGTATTTCTTCTTATAGTCTCTCTATCATGATTATCAATAATTTTGAGAAATAAAGTTACAACAGAAAGCATAAGAAGAGGTTAAGTGTAGTATAATTTTCCACAAGAATATAGACTGTGGGTGTTGAGAACAAGTAATAAACAGAACACATATGAGTGACTGATACAAGTAATTTAGCATTCCAGGAGCTCAAGCGTACTAGAGATTAGTGAGAGTTGGAGTTATCAGTGAAAGTTTTATGAAATAAATGGAATTGGAATTTGGACCCTAAGAAAAGTGTGGGATTTGGTAAATCAGACAGACTGATTGAAGCACATGCTGGGCAGAAAGAATGGCATAGGAAAAGGTATCACTAATGTTTGACCCAAATAGTTAATATTACAGAGATTTTATTAATTTTCTTGGTTGTAATAGTGTTGATGTTGTTAGATAGGAGAAAGTCAGTATTTATAGGTGATGCATACTGAATTATCCTTATTTTAATATATATTTTTTATTGATTTCAGAGAGGAAGGGAAAGGGAGAGAAGAAATAGAAACATCAATGAGGAAAGAGAATCACTGATAGGCTGCCTTCTGCATGCCCCCTACTGGGGATCAAGCAGCAACGCAGGCATGCGCTCTTGACCAGAATCAAACCTGGGACCCTGCAGTCCGCAGGCTGACACTCTATCCATTGAGCCAAACCAGCTAGGGCACATACTGAATTATTTAGGGGTGAAGTTTCTTGATGCAAATTGTATTCAAAGGTAAGAAATGAAGAGAGAGGAGAGAGAGAGAGAGAGAGAGAGAGAGAGAGAGAGAGAGAGAGAGAGAGAGAGAGAGAGAATGAGAGAGAATGAGAGACAGAATGAAAATGCGAGAAAATATGCCAAAATGTTAACAGTAATAAATTGGAGGGGGGAGACATATATACTACAATATGAATTCTAAAGCTGCTCATACATTTGGTCCAAGAAATTGTACTTTCAGGAAATAATCAGAAACTAGAAACAAAGAGCAGGTGGCAACAATCCATTGGTGATATAAGAATGTGAAGAAGGGCCCTGGCCTGTGTGGCTCAGTGGATAGAGCGTCGGCCTGCGGACTGAAGGGTCCCGGGTTCGATTCCGGTCAAGGGCATGTACCTTGGTTGCGGGCACATCCCCAGTGGGTAGTGTGGGGGAGGCAGCTGATCGACGTTTCTGACTCTACCCCTCTCTCTTCCTCTCTGTAAAAAATCATTAAAAATATATTTTAAAAGCCGAATCCGATTTGGCTCAGTGGATAGTGCGTCGGTCTGCGGACTGAAAGGTCCCAGGTTCGATTCTGGTCAAGGGCATGGTTGCAGGAGGCAGCTGGTCGATGATTCTCTCTCATCGATGTTTCTAACTATTTCTCTCCCTTCCTCTCTGTAAAAAATCAATAAAATATATTAAAAAAATAAAAGAATGTGAAGAAGGGGAGCAGCATGTATGTACTGAGCTAGAGAGCCACCCATCAACCCTACCTCATGACATAAACAGATCATACAACGGACCAAATAGGAGGCTTCTGCCCACTAGGATGTGCCCAGCACCACAAGCACCTTTGCTGTACTAAAACCAAGGCATCTTGGAAATGATAAGAAACAAAAAAACAAGTGATTAGATCATCTACTCTCCAGAATTTCTACACATTGATCCAATGTGCTTCAAATTCTAGAATCTTAATATACTTCACACACTGAAAAACATGTTTCAAACTGTACTTAGGTGTACAGAGATTTGAAAATAAGGTAGTTAAGCGTACTTGACAACGTTTTATTGTTTTTTATTACAAGTCCAAGAGATTTTTCTCTAACACTGACACTCAGCTTCCTTTTTTTTCAATCCTCACCCAAGGATATTTTTCCATTGATTTTTTTTTTTTTTGTAAAATGATTTAAACATTTTTATTTCTATTTATTTATTTATTTTACATTTTTTTAATTAAATTATTATCTGTTTCCATTGATTTTTAAAGCGGCAGGGAGGTGGGGAGAGAAAGAGGAAAGCATCCATATGAGAAAGATACATCAATTGGCTGTTGGTAAGTTGAAGGATCGAGCCTAAAATCTAGATATGATGTATGTGCCTTTGACATGAATCAAACTAAGGCCCTTCAGTCCATCTGGGCTCAGATTCCTTTTAATATTAACTATGGCTAAGAACCACCAAACAGCAGATGTTTTTGAACAATTAGCAAGTGTTGATGTGCAAATACTCCCTAAATGGCCACAGCTACAAATATCATTAAAACAGTACAAAGGCATCATATGTACATGCAACTCAATTGTACACCAAGGGCAAAACATTTAATGATTAAAAACATTTTCAGAAAATTTGACTCCTAATATAAGCCAGACACTATCTGGTGACTTTTAAAAAAGGGATCTGGCCAAGCTGGGATGGCTCAGTGGTTGAATGTAGACCTATGAACCAGGAGGTCATAGTTCAATTCCCAATCAGGAAATCAACTTCCCAATCAGGACACATGCCCAGATTGCGGGCTTGATTCCAAGAGGGGTCCTGCACTGCTGATCAATGATTCTCTCTCATCATTAATTTTTCTATCTCTCTCTCCTTCTCCCTTCTTCTCTGAAATCAATAAAAATATATTTTTAAAAAGTAAAAAAAGATCTGTACTGGATAAATAAAACTATATACTTAATTTTATAAGCAACTTAGAGATTTTTAAGGGTAACTTTGACTGTATTTTGGTTTCACGTATGCAATAACTTTAGAACTTAACCATGAGCAAAATGGGACTTCCACATCTAACATAGAGTGCTTGCTGTAAAAAAAATAAATAATCTGTTTTGCCCTGGCCAGTATTGCTCAGTGGTTGAAGCATGGGCCCATGGGCCCATACTTGGAAGGGTAGGGAGTTCAATTCCTGGTCAAAGGCATGTACCTGGGTTTCATGTTTAATCTCTGGCTCCAAAGGACCATGTGTGGGAGGCAGTCAATCTATGTTTTTCTCACATTGATGTTTCTTTCTCTCTGTTTCTCTCTCCCACTCTCTTTCTGAAAAGTAATGGAAAAAATATCCTCGGGTAAGGATGAACAACAACAACAACAACAACAACAAAAACCCCATAATCTGCTTTGAATCTTTGCTGTGGGGACATCCAAGTTCACAATTTTCTTATCTATAAAATTGGAACATTAAGCATACCTATCTGTGATGGTTAATTTTATGTGTTAATTTGGCTAGGCCATAGTGCCAAGATATTTGGTTAAATGTTATTCTGAATGTTTCAGTGTTTTGGTTTGGGATTAATATTTAAAGCCCCAGCCAAAACCGGTTTGGCTCAGTAGATAGAGCATCAGCCTATGGACTGAAAGGTCTCGGGTTCAATTCCTGTCAAGGGCATGTACCCTGGTTGCGGGCACATCCCCAGTAGGGGGTGTGCAAGAGGCAGCTGATCAATGATTCTCTCTCATCGATGTTTCTATTTATCCCTCTCTATTCCTCTCTGTAAAAAATCAATAAAAATTAAGGGAAAAAATAATAGGGATCATTAATATATATATATTTAAAGCACATGTGTCAAACACAAGGCCCGCGGGCCAAATCCGTCCCGCCAGGCCTTGCAATGTGGCCCGCACCGCGCTGTCATCACTGCACTCCGCTGCGTTTCCATCACAATGACAGTTTATGACTGTTCAGTAAACCATTCGGCCTGCGATTTAGGCTGGATTTTAGATTTTGGCCCCTTCTCTGATTGAGTTCGACACCCCTAATTTAAAGCATCAGACTTTGAGTAAAGCAGATCACCCTTCATAATGTGGGTTGGCATCACCCAACCACTTGAAGGCCTTAATAGATAGACTGACCTCCTTCAAGCAAGAAAGAATTCTTCCAGCAGACTGCCCTTGTACTCAAACTTCAACTTTGCCTTGGCTCTCTAGCCTGCCAGCCTACCCATTAGATTTGGATTCACCAAATTTCTACAATAATGAGAGCCAAGTCCTTAAAATATTTCACTCTCTCTATTTAGATAGATGAATGGATAGATAGATAGATAAATAGATAAATAGATAGATAGACATATTTATATATAAAACAAAATTATATCTATATCTACCTATCTATATTGAGAGAGAGAGAGATTGAAACATACACATTCTGTTGTGTGTGTTTTTTTCCTCTAGAGAACCCTGACTAATATACTACCCGACAGAATTATTATAAAGATTAAATAAGACAATACATTTAATCTTCAGAGTGCCTGAAATATGGAATAGCGATAGATAAATGATTGCTGTTTTATACCAATCTTGCTCCTATTGCTTTGTTCCCAGAGGCTGTTTCTTTAAGGCCAGATCTACTCCCTATCTGAATGTGAATACTGGGCATTCAGGTACTTCTTACAAACCTCCCTTCTTCATCCCTTCTTAGTCCTCAATATGTTGTTAGACATAGACAAGAAAAATGATCTTCAGCTCGATAATGATTATGAAGCACTCAACAGTATTATGGCACAATATTAGTATCTCTTTTTCCTGATAACTGACCTGTTTGAATACATGCATTGAGCCACTTTCTGAATTAAGCTGGGCCTTCAAGTTGTTTATGAATTGATCCATATCTGGAAAAGAGACAAGAGAAAGATAATTTTAAAATAGGATCTAACCCACTGTATTCACACACGATACGTCGCTTACTAGTATTCTTGGTTACACCTGTTTGTGTTTTTATTAACATGATTTCTCAAGATTTACTAGGTACAGAGAAGTCAGCATTTGGACAACATTCTAATTTATATGTTATGTTCATCAAGATGGCCCTGGCTTGTCCTCAATAATATGAGCTGCCCACTCCCCTCAAATTCTGTATGCATGTATAACTGTTTCTTCCAATCTCTACAACCCACCCTACATCCATAGGAATATCAGCATAGCTACATAGTTTCCAGAATGCTCCCCTTCCTGGCCTAGCTCTCATTCTAAGAAGTCCCATGTTCCTGTATGGATATGTACCCTAGTGAACATGCTTACACATCAGCATCAATTCTCTCTAAAGCAGTGGTTCTCAACCTTTCTAATGCCATGATCCTTTAATACAGTTTCTCACATTGTGGTGACCCCCAACCATAACATTATTTTCATTACTACATCATAACTGTAATTTTGCCACTGTTATAAACCGTAATGTAAATATCTGTGTTTTCTGATGGTCTTAGGCTCTTAGGCTCTACAGCTAGCCAGGGTCGCCAGAGACCATCAGAAAACACGATTCTTAACAGTGGCAAAATTAGTTATGAAGTAACAACGAAAATAATTTTATGGTTGGGGGTCACCACAACATGAGGAACCGTATTAAAGGGTCGTGGCATTGGAAAGGTTGAGAACCATTGATCTAAAGGGATATTTTATTTCTCTACCTCTCTTTAACATACAAGCCAGGTGGAGTTAATATGATCAATCTTTTACTTCCTTGTTAGATAGATTTTCCTCCTATGAGAAAAAGATTCTTGGTGGCCTCACTCAGCTGCCCTGCACCATCACATTCATTCCCACCAGAAGCACATACCAGCTTCTCTTTTACCAGATTTCCTTTGATCTATTTACAGTCTAATCTCACTAAGAGAGGAAAGCATGGGGCAAGGTAGATGAATCCGCAGCTTGCTTATGACTTAATTGGTCAGATTTCAGATTTCTCTAAGTATCTCCAAGTCAATTACAATTAGTTTCCTCATTTATGATCTGGTTGCATTTCAAAAGGTTCTCTATAAATCAGTTAATTGCTTTGGACATCAAATACACTTACCTATCTATGGAAATGTTCATTTACAGGTCACTTCACATTTAAGGCCAAATTCAGTTAATATACAACAAATGCACAATTAGCAGGAATAGAAAATTATAATATGACCGACCACACACAAAATAAAATGTAATTCTAAACACAATTCCTTTATTTATTAAAAGTCAGGAATGGAGAAAACAAATCCTAATTGAGTGGCAATAATAGACAAAGAATCCTCTATTGGAATTATGAGAAAACTTCTGAGACACTATCAAGAGCTTGGAGAATTTTAAGAATTTAAAATAGCATCAATTTTATCTCAAAGTGCATAGATTTTCTTTTCTTTCTTCCAAGTATTATATATGAGTAGAACTGCTCATATATACATCCATCATTCACCAAACCATCTCTGCATAATTACTGTTAGAAGTTAGAGTAGGCAAATTGTTATCAGTTTTTGATCTGAGTCAACCAGATAAGGAGAATCAGCAAACGCAGCAGCACTGACATGGGAGTTCAATGCCTACAAATCACAGCCCATTATGTTTGTCAAGGCCTTTTTCTTTCTAAGCTTGAACTTCTCAATCTAGAATTTAACATTTTCAAACTGTTCTCTGCAAAGTCCTAAGGTGTCTGAGAAGTCTTTTGGGAGGGGGGGGGGGGTTCATGGAGGAAGATATGTAGTAAAGAATAAGTATAAAAGTCAGATGCAGAAAACTGTGTTTTCCGTTAGATGGTAGGCTCTTTGCAGGCAGAGATTTTCGTCTTTGGTGTTCCTTTCAGTGGTGCATTTCAAGGGCTTCAGACAGTGCACATGGTAGGTGTTCAATATATTTTCCAAGGTTTTTGATGAGTTACAGAAAAGGAGAATGAGGAAGTGTGTTTTCTCGAGTACAGGAGTTAGACAAGAATAGAAAAGAATAAAAGAAAATTAGACAGGTTACGTAGGAGAGATGTTTGACATGCAAATAACTATGAAGTATGATGCGCCAGAGACTGTAGTTTATTATGCTTTGAAGGAGGAGTGAAAAAGGAGGGACAACAGTATAAAAGGAATGTTAGGTCAAGATAACTCGCATATGATCCAGAGGAGGGCACCGTGAAGTCAGGAGCACTTGCTTGGTTGCTGCCAGAAAAATCTGGAGGAGAGTGAAAAGAATTCCATTATTTTTCTCCATTCACATATTATTCAATTAGGCCTCATTATTTTTATCTGGGGCAACTTATAAGAGCCATCTCCTATCTGGTCTTCCTCAATTCCTATGGATTACGAGATAGTAGGGTTGAGGGAGCAAAGTGACTTTGATAACCTATTCAGCCCTAATGAACCTCAGTTTCTTTACCTGCCAAGGAAAGGGGGTATGGTACTGATTGAATAGGTTTAATGTGAAAATTTCATGAATTAGTAAATGCAAATGTACTTTTTTGCATAGGAAAAGTTCTCCCCGAAACTGGTTTGGCTCAGTGGATAGAGTCAGCCTGTGGACTGAAAGGTCCCAGGTTCGATTCTGGTCAAGGGCATGTAACTTGGTTGTGGGCACATCCCCAGTAGGGGGTGTGCAAGAGGCACCTGATCAACGTTTCTCTCTCATCGATGTTTCTAACTCTCTATCCCCTTCTTTTCCTATCTGTAAAATATCAATAAAATATATATTTTAAAAAAAAGAAAAGTTCTCAATATAAGTAGTTATTATCAAAGTCACCACCATTATTATTGCTGATGGCCATGTTTAGCTCTGGCCCAGAAGGGTATCAAATAGTTCTTTCATAAACTCAGTGTGCTCACAAACCTTCTCTTCCGCTTATATTTATAATCTCAATTTATAGCACCACCATCAGCCCAGTCTCAATCTAAAAACCTGAGGGCCAGTTACTTTTGACTCCTCTCTCTCCATCTCCAGCCAATTGGTTATCAGCTGCAATAAATTCTACTGAAGAAATATCTCTTAAACCTAGCTGTTCATCTTTTCCCAGTCACTTCCTCTTTTAGTCCATTCTCGCACATTGCAACCCAAGTGTGGTAAAAACATGTGGGGTCTGGACTGAGTGCCTAAGGTCACATCCTGGCTCTACAACTTCTTAACGATAAGACTCTGGGTAAATGTTTCTACACCTCTGTGTCTGTTTTCCCATTTGCAAAATAAGAACAATAGTACCAGCTCATAGGGTTGTTGAATTTATCAAGTTAATACGTGTTCAAGTGTTTTCAGCATCCTGTACAAAGAGGCACCATCAGGTGAGCTCCTCAGTAGATACCTAGTCTTGTTCCTCTCTGAGTCCCAGTTTTTTTTTTTAGCAGAGTATCTTCTCCATGTAGCGTGCTAATGTCCAATGAATGAATGATCATAGGAATAAGGAAGGTTATTTAATAAGAGCAATCTTGTATGCATGCATATTAGCATAACCAATGGGTACAGACACTGGGGCAGTAGGGGCTTGCCCAGCATGGGAATGGCTGGGGAGGGGGGGGGGGTCAATTGAAGAAAAAGGAGACATATGTAAAACTTCAGACAAAAAATAAAATAAGATAAAAACAATCTATATATATAAAAGCCAAAAGCGACTATCCGACTGTCCAACTGGTAACTATGATGCACAATATCCACCAGGGGCAGACACTCTGATTGGTAGCTATGCCATGCACTGACCACCAGGGGGCAGACACTAGACACAGAAGCTGCCAAGCAACAGCAAATGTGCAGAGTGCCCTCTCACACACTGGGACCCCTTGGGGAATGTTGGACTGCCAGTTTTGGCCCAATCCCCACAGGCCAGGTTGAGGGATCCCCACCTGTCGGAGGGTCTCCACTCATTCCACAGAAGTCCTTCAAGCCCTAGCGCCTCCCCAGGTGCAGCCAGCCAGGGGAGGGACCGAGGAAAGTTGTCTCCAGGTTGTGCCAGCCCATCTCACCCAATCTCACCCCACCAGCCATCTTCTAATGAATTTACTTTCAATGTGCATGAATCAATGCACCAGCCTCTAGTATACTACAATATAATAATAATATTAATATTTAAAATAGCAATAATCAAGGAGTCTGAAAAAAATACTTCTTGTCCAAACTGCATTAAAAGTATATTAGTCATTGTCCTCGCTGGTTTGACTCAGTGGATAGAGTATTGGCCTATGGACTGAAAGGTCCTGGGTTCAATTCAGTCAAGGACATATGCCTTGGTGGCTCAATCCCCAGTAGAGGGTGTGCAGGAGGCAGCCAGTTAATGATTCTCTCTCATCACTGATGTATCTATCTCTTTTTCCCTCTCTCTTTCCCTCTGAAACAAATAAAAATAGATTTTTTAAAAAGGGATATTAGTCAGCCCAGCTGGTACGTTCAGTGGTTGGGTGTTGATCTGTGAACAAGAGGTTCGATTTCTGGTAAGGGCACATGCTCAGGTTGCAGGCTCAATCCCCAGTGTGAGGTGTTCAGGATGTAGCCAATCAATGATTCTCATTGATGTTTCTCTCTCTTCCTCCCTCCCCCTTTCTCTCTGAAATCAATAAAAAAATTTTTAAGTATATTAGCAAATGGCATAAGCTGACAATCAGAAATGTCTCAGCCATTTTTGCTAACTGCACTTTCACCCAAAAGATAGTCAATTGGAGTTGCCAATAGATAACCATGGACGTTGTTAGGAATGAATATAGAGATAGCTATCAGAAATGTGTATAACCTTCTCTTTAAAAAATTTTTTATTTAATATTTAGCCAGCTAAAATTTTAAAAAGTGGGGCCAACAGAATGGTTTTAAAGAAAGCTCGGGATTTTTGTTTTGTTTTGTTTTGTTTTAAGGAATTTAAAAGCCTTTTACTTTTCTCTAAAGTTGGAGCTGCTGCTCTTAA